GATGTCAGCCCCTGGCTGGAGTATTCGTCCCTCCGAGCCGCCTCGGAGAAAATGTCATGTCCCGACAGCGGGACTTTCGTGCTGGAGCCGCTGAGCCGCGCGGATTTCTCCGCGGGCCAGGCCATGTTCGCGCAGCCCGGCGCGGATTTCGCGATGCGCGGCTGCTCCGGCCTCGTCCCTTCCCTCCCCAAACGCGACGAGGTGGCCCTGGGCTCCTTCCCGCCCTACCTGGCGCAGCTGGACTCTTGGGCCGAGCCTAAGAGCGGCTTTAGGCTGGACCAGCCCCAGGCGCGGCCGCTGCCGCCCTGCGCCTTCCCGGGCGGGCCGGTGAAGGAGGAGAGCGGCTGCTGCATGTTCGCCCCGGGCGAGCGGCCCAAAAGCGGCCCCGAGCCCTCCACATTCTCCTCCGCGCTGCCCGAGCCCTGCCTGGCCGAGCCCGAAACGCCCGCGGGCGGYTTTTTCCGCGGAAGCGCGAGTTACGCGGGTTTGGAGAAAGCTCCGAGCGAGTTCCCGTTCGAGGGGAGGGCGAGTCTGAGAAACCGMAACGAGCGGCTGGAAACGGTTCCGCCGACCCCTCCTCCGCCTCCCTCCGCGCCCGCGGAGCGCCTCTCGCCCCAATTCCGAGGGAATTTCACCCCAAATTGCGGCGCGGAGCAGCCGGCGGGAGGAGAAATCAAAAGGGAAAAAAGCGGCGGAGCCAAAGCGAGCGCGGCGGAGGCGGAAAAAGAGCGGAGGAAAAGCGGAGACGGCGCCAGCACCGACAATTCCGACTGCGAGGCGAAAGGTAGGGCAGAGCCGAGCGTTATTTCATTCATTTTCATSAGWTTTTAATTGATTTTTATTAATTAGMGGTGATTTGCGGAACYCGGAAAGCGCTCTCTGCYCGGCCGGCTCCCCCCGCGGAAATCGGCGTTGAAATCGTCCGAGTTGCGTAAAAAAAACCCCGCAAAACAACCCGAAAATCCCCAAATTCTGTTGTTTTTAAAATATATTTAAATGTTAAAACATCCGAGCGGGGGAAAGGCGGCAGAGAGCGCCGAGGGAAATGCGTTTGGACCCAAAAAAGAGCGGAAATTGAGCGATTGCGCAGCGCGGGAGCGGTTTTGCTCGAAAACTGCGGAAATTTGGGRTTTTCTGCGCTCGGGGACGCGTCCTGGTGGTTTTTGAGGCGGATGAACCCAAATTTTCCTCTTTT